ATAATTATATTGCTCCGCCCCTTGGCTTAGCACTTCCTTTTCCCTCACTACCTTCTCTCCCCAACCCCCAGCAATGAATCATCATGACTTTAAAGAGACTTAGATGACCCAGTGTGAACTTTGCTGGCATCCTGTACATTCTTATGCCAAAAAAGGGGAGTTGCTCTTAGACAGAAACCAGCCAGACCCTGATGCAGATCTTGAAGGCAACAAGCTTGAGTGCCTATCTGGGAAGATCAGTGAGGAGTTAATTTTCCTCGAACACGACGGTGATTCATAATTGCATATCTTAGTTCATGATCTGGTTTTTAAGAACCTAGTTCGACCCTTTGTGCAGAAAGGAATATATCAGAGTGAAAAATGTTGGCAGATCTCCTTATGCAATCAGGGCAAAGGAATTTAAACCAAATTCAGCCCTTTGATTTCTCCAGATCTGGCTGAGGGTGGGGTTTCCATATTTGTGCTTTGGCAAATGTGTCCAATAATTAACTCCTCCTGATAGATGCCCCTAGTGTTCTTCCAGGTTATCATGTGCTTATTTGTGCATTTATTAAAGCCAGAAACATTTTTGCCCCTTCATTTTTTAAATACTGTTTCTGAGTAATACAGGTTAAATAGACAAGAGCCTTGCTTTTAAAGACTGTTCTCCCTACCTAAAGAGGTATGGGGGTATCATTAAATAACATTATGTGTGTGCATATCCTTTCTATATAGAAAGCCCTTTCTTCTCCTCCCTCCTTTTTTTTTTTTTTTGCACGGAGATTTTATCTTCATGCTTTTGAGATCCGGCTCAAGCATCAACACTTCTGTGAAGTCTTTCTTGATTATCACAGGAGTCTGCGGCTCTGCCCAATGTGTGAGTCAGAGAAGTGCTATTTTCTTATTCTTTTTATTTATACAATATTTTTTTAAACCTCTAACCGAAAAAAACAGGGCCATAAGCACAGATGGAGAGAGTATCCAAAGTGGAAGCTTCTCTTATTTGAATACTTCCTGCTACTCCCAAACCCATTTGACCTCCCTCACAGTTTCTCCCTTTGTTTATTGCTCCGATTATGTGACTCCCCTCCGCTGATCAGCTCTTCATGCAGCTTTCCCCTGCCCTCTGTTATGAGTTGAATTGTGGCCCCCAAAAGATATATCGAAGTCCTAATCCCAGTAACTATGAGTTTGGCCTTATTTGGGAGTAGGATTTTTGCAGATTTAATTAGTTAGGATGAGGTTTTACTGTTTTAGGGTGGACCCTAAATCCAATACAACTGTTGTCCTCATAAGGAGAGAAGTCACAGAAACAGAGGAGATATGGGGTAGATGACCACGTGAAGACAAGGCAGAGATTGGAGAATTGGAGATACGCTGCCACAAGCCAGGGAACGCCAGGGATTGCTAGCAACTATCAGAAGGTAGAAGGGGCAAGGGAGGCTCCTCTCCTAGAGCCTTTAGAGAAAGGATGGCCCTGTCAACACCTTAATTTCAGACTTCTTACTATCTTTTTGTTGTTGTTGTTGCCCAGGCTGGAGTGCAATGATGCAGTCTTGGCTCACCGCAACCTCCGCCTTCCAGGTTCAAGTGATTCTCCTGCCTCAGCTCCTGAGTCTCTGGGATTTCAGGCGCTCGCCACCATGCCCAGCTAATTTTGTATTTTTAGTAGAGACAGGGGTTTCTCCGTGTTCGTCAGGCTGGTCTCGAACTCCCGGCCTCAGGTGATCTGCCCACTTCGGCCTCCCAAAGTGCTGGAATTAACAGGCGTGAGTCACTGCGCCTGGCCAGTTTCAGTCTTCTAAATTCCAGAACTGGGAGAGGATACTTACCTGCTGTTTTAAGCCACCCAGTTTATGGTACTTGGCTACAGCAGCCCTAGGAGATGAACACACGGTCCTGGTGATATCCATGATGCCAGGTCTGCCGCATTCTCCTGTCTTCTCTTTATTTACATAGGTGGCCCTTTCTGCGTCAGATACTCCTAGGTCATCTGTTCTGGGTGTACTATTGGTCTTGCACCTATGACAATCCCAGTAAACAAAAGAAAAGGTCTAATGGAATAGAAAAATTTATAGAGTTCTAGAACGACTTCCCCATCATTCCGGAAAAACATCTGGCTTTCAGCCCCAGGCCTCAGGGAACACAGGGGCAGGACACTCCTGCACAGGGCCTCGGCTGGTGTCCACGTCCTCCTCCGCCCTCCTTAGCTCCCTCAGCTGGGAGCCCGATGCACCAGCAGCTTCCCTCTGCAGAAGTGGTCTTCCAGCATGTGGGGTTGGGGTGAAGAAGAGACCGAAAAAACTAAATGAATTTGGCGTTGAGGAAATACAATACTAACTGTTTGGCTTTCTTTTACTGTCTATTTATTTATTATTGAAATTTTTTTTTTGAGACGGAGTCTCACTGTCTCCAGGCTGGAGTGCAGTGGTGCGATCTCAGCTTACTGCAACCTCTGCCTCCCAGGTTCAAGCAATTCTCCTACCTCAGCCTCCCTAGTAGCTGGGATTACAGGCCCCCACCACCAGACCCACCTAATTGTTGTATTTTTAGTAGAGACGGAGTTTCAACATGCAGAGCAGGATGGTTCCTATCTCTTGACCTCGTGCTGGGATTACAGGCGTGAGTCACTGCACCCAGCCTTTACCATCTATTTGAGTGTTATCAACGTGCTTATGAAGACCTTGGTCTTTCTGATTCTCCTTTTTCAAAAAGCAACGGGAAATTCATTTGTTTCAAGAAGTTTCCCTCAGTGGGTGGAAGGGGAGGGCTCACACTCAAGCCAGAACACCAAGGAAGCCCTCTTGTGACGGAGAATGCAGTTCTTATATGCAAATCTCAGACAATGGCAACTCCATTTTTCCACCTGTTCCAAACGGGATCTTGACTCTGTTGTTCAGATCGCACATCCAATTTGCCAAAAATCCAACTAGATCTACCTTCAAAACATATCCAGAATCTGACCATTTTTCAGCCCTGAGACTGCTACCACTGGCGTTAAACCACCACCGTCCTTCATCAGGGTTACTGCGGCAGCCTCCGAAGTCGGCCCTTGCTTCCCCAGTTACGGGCCCACATCACACTTTACTCTTGGCATTAGTTGATGCCACAGCTCTGCTCAGTGGTGCCCAAGGGCTACCCCATAGTCAAGTAAAAGCCCCTCATGGCCGACAGGGCTGCCCTTGATCAGGTCCTCAGCTCTTCTGATCTCATCTCTCACTGTGCCCGCTCCCACATTGCCAGCCTCACTATCCTCTTTGCTGGTCCTCAGACAAGCCAGCTGTTCTCTTGCCTCAGAGCCTTTGTATTTGCTGTTCCCTTGGCTTGGAATGCTTTTCCCTCTGGTGTTGACATGGCTCACTTCTTCACCTTGTTCACGTTCTTTTTTTTTTTTTTTTTTAAGACAGAGTCTTGCTTTGTCACCATGCTTGAGTGCAATGGCGTGATCTTGGCTCACTGCACTCTCTACCTCCCAGGCTGTGATTCTCCTGTCTCAGCCTCCCGAGTACCTGGGACTACAGGCATGTGCCACCATGCCCAGCTAATTTTTGTATTTTTGGTAGAGACGGGGTTTCACCATGTTGGCCATGATGGTCTCGATTTAGTTTTGTTTTTTTGTTTTTGTTTTTGTTTTGTTTTTGTTTTTTGAGGCAGAGTCTGGCTCTGTCACCAGGTGCCAGGCTGGAGTGCAGTGGCACGATTTCGACTCACTGCAACCTCTGCCTCCCGGGTTCAAGCAATTCTTCTGCCTCAGCCTCCTGAGTAGCTGGGGCTATATGCACACACCACCACACCCAGCTAATTTTTGAATTTTTTAGTAAAGACAGGGTTTCACCATGTTGGCCGGGATGGTATCAATCTCTTGACCTTGTGATCTGCCCGCCTCGGCCTCCCAAAGTGCTGGGATTACAGTTGCGAGCCACTGTGCCCAGCCGTACTTCTTTTTTTTCTAAGAATTAACCTCCTAATGAAGCCTGCTGTGAACACCACACTGAAAACTCTACTCCCTGACTTTCCTGGTCCACCCTGCCCTGCTCATTTATCCCATACATGTATCATCTTATAACATTCTATGCCATCTACTTTTTGTTTGTTTGTTTATTGTCAGGAGGGCAGTTTTTTGTTTGTTTGTTTGTTTGTTTTTTCTGTCTCATTCATCTAGAATAGTTCTTGGCATATGATAGACACCCACTAAATAGGCATTGACTATTACATGAAGTAGTCAATAATATTTCCAGAACCGACTACGTGCAAAGTTCTATCAGCCTCAACACAATGAGTATCTCATTAGGAGCTAATCCAATACTAATCCATCTTGTCCACACTATGGTATAATACATGTTCTCTTTACTTGACCTTTGCCTTAGTGTCGGCCATGACTGTTAAGGCTGAATTGGAATGAGCTGAGTCTCACATTCAGGCTTTGCAGATGTCGTTTTATTTCATCCCCAAGAGGGTACTATGAGATAGCGATCATGATTCTCACTGACTGGGTGATTAAACCAAGGCTTGGAGTTTAAAGGACCTCACCAAAGTTCAGGGTCATCCAGCACTGGTTTCAAAGTGAAGTTATCCACCTATGCAGCCTGAGAATTGTTAGCAAGCCATTACCCGGATGAAATACGACAGTTAGAGTCATAACACTGCATTGCAATCTTTTGGCTAAGAAACCATTTTTCATACCAATCTCTAGTTTTTGGATTATACATGAATTATGAATAACACCTATATCACAGAAGTTAAAGCTAGTGTGCTTATTGAGAACTGAGTATTTCTCCCTAAGCGAATTGGCTTCAGATCAACCTAAGTGGTTTCCCAACTAACAAAATTATATTCCAGTTTATAATTTTTACTCATGCTACTATGCGAGCTGGAAGTGACTCTCACTTGAAGTTCATGCTTGAATTCCTAGAACTCTTTCCTATTAAAATCCTGTCTAAAGCATCCCATTACAGTAAGGACAAAGGAGATTGTAAAAGGCCAACATGAATTCTCAGGCCTTATTTAATGACTTAATTTCCTTCAATTACTCTGGGATCCCGCAAGCTTCCCAGAATCCTCTTTGACCACAATCAAAGCATAGTGTCTGAAAGTAGCCTGGCCACACAAAATGTGCAAAACACTGTAACCTCTCCACAGCCTCACTCCACTTTGCATTTGAGGGAAATGATTCTAGAAGCTGAAATAGACCAGAGTTCAACAGTCTGGGAAATTTGAAGAAGAAAAAAGAAAAAAAAGAAAAAAAAAAAAAAAACATCGAAGTCCTGCATTTGCAGAGATGTGAAGAGAACCCAGCTTTCTGAAGTTGGAAGGAAGTGAGAAGACCCTATTTGTGGCTGCAGGAGAGGAAAAGAAAAGGGACCCGCAAGGAAACTACCAACAGATGGTAAATACATTTTTAATTCTTCTGTCATACTGTGTGGACTTGTGCACATTTGTCCTGCTGTGTTAGGCTCCCGAAATAGCTAGCCATGGAATCGCAGAACAGCTCTGCTGCAATCTGAGATTTAGGAAACCATGCTAGCTGACAAAACAGGAAAGGCTCATAGTAGGGTGGAGTGGGTTTGCTCCCAGTTTGCAGCTCCACCATGTGGCATCTGCTGTCCTTCTTAGTGCAGGAAAATTCTCTCACATGCCAGGTCTCATTGGTGATGTTTTGAAACATACTATCTCAAATTGCCCTCTGAGCCCTGGTTAAAATTATTAAATGTTGGCCGCCGGACATGGTGGCTTACACCTTTAATTCCAGCACTTTGGGAGGCTGAGGTGGGCAGATCACCTGAGGTCAGGAGTTCGAGACCAGCCTGCCCAACATGGCAAAACCCCACCTCTAATAAATATATATATATATATATATATATATATATATATATACAAAAAGTAGCCAGGCATGGTGGTGGGTGCCTGTAATCTCAGCTACTCAGGAGGCTGAGGCAGGAGGATCACTTGAACCTGGGAGGCGGAGGTTGCAGTGAGCTGAGATCACACCACTGCACTCTAGCCTGGGCAATAGAGCAAGACTCTGTCTCAAAAAAAAAAAATTATTAAATGTTGACACTATGTATATGATAACTCTCAAAGGTTAAAGAGAGTGAGATCTATTGATTAATGAATCTTGAGTCCTCCAGGGAATATCACAGACACACGTGGCAGCCCAGAGCTCTTCACCGTGTCTTCCTCATACTTTCAGTTGTGAAATAATGTTCCCATAGAACGTAATGGGAATTCCAGTGCCAGAAAATGGGTTGTTCTACAAGAACCTAAGGAGGTAGGACACGAAAGCACATTCAGTTGACTCCACATCTGAGAAGTGACCAGTGATTTGTACCAGGAATGAGTTAGGTTCCCAAACCCGACACCATCTCCCAGTGCATTTGCAAAAAACAAAAACAAAAAACAAAAAACAAAAAACAAAAAAAAATTTGATGAATCCAACTGGATGCAGAATAACGAGGAGAGGGTCGCCTATTACTTAATTACAGTATAAAAAATATAGCTATGCAATACCATTTCGTTAGAACTGGAAGGATCCTTACAGAATCTAGTTCAATTTTTTTTTTTTTTTCATTTTATAGACAGGAATCTGGGCCAAAGAGTTGCAGGAAATTAGCAAAGATCATACAACTAGCTCATGGCAAATTCAGCACTGGAACCTAAGACATTGCCCGCCTAGTCCTGTGTTTGCTTTCCTCTAGCCCTCATTGAAGGTGGACATTGCTGTGATGAGCAAAACCCAATTCTAGAAGACTTCGATCATGGGAGCCCTCACGCTTGGGTTCTTATAAAGCAAGATGATGGCGTTTCTGTCTGGTCTGTAGATGTTTGGGAAACTGGTTGATATTCTTTACAAGTAAGGTTTCAAGCTAAAATAGATTTGTTAATTTCTGTCCTAAACCCCTGTGGGTCGTCTGATTATATAGCTACCACACTATTTGACACAGCTGGGATCCTCTTTTCATGAAATAGCAGGGAAGATTGGTGGATAAGGATTAAAAAGCATTGGCAGAGGAGACTGGGAGACTCACACAATTACTTCCACCCAGTGCCTTCCTGGTCGAAGAACTTCTCCCAGCCTCTTGGAGAGAGAGGTAAGTGGGAAGAAAGGAGATTTTTATCTTTTTAGTCAACGAAAGGAAAACAAAAATGTTAGTACTGCTCAATTGGATGAAATCTTGATTTCACATGGTTTAAGTTTCTACAAGACTAAATATATTCTTTGTTCAAAATTACTTATATATTCATAGATAACTTTTCCAGTGGCTACATATGTAGTTTGTTAATAAAAACTCTTCTCATTCAGCTGTTTTTTTAAGAGTGTTCTTTCCTGTTTTCTAAAAAGTTAATCAGTAAGCGCTTCAATAGCTAGTTTGGCAGTAAGGTCTCTTAAATTTTGCAATTCTAGTCAGCATTTTGCTTTGTTATTTTGCAAAATATTTCAGCAATATTTTATGCTACTTTTGTTATTGTTGTTTTTGAGACAGTGCCTTGCTCTGTCACCCAGGCTGGAGTGCAGGGGCATGCTCATGGCTCACTACAGCCTCAAACTTCTGGCCTCAAGCAAACTTCCTGCTTCAGCCTCTGAAGTAGCTGGGACTACAGACGTGCACCAACACACCTCGCTAATTTTTTTTTCTTTTTTGTAGAGATGGGAGTGTCATTATTGTTACCCAGGCTGGTCTCGAACTCTTGGGCTCAAACAATCGTCCTACCTTGGCTTCCCTAAGTGTTGGGATTACAGGCGTGAGCCATTGCACCTGGCCTTATTTTTGTGGTGGCAAAAAAGTTCTATGTGTTAGATATACATATGGAAATTTTTGTTTTGAGAATTAATTTTATCATGTTGAATGTTCTTAGAAATTTACTATCTATCTCCATGGTCTAGTAATGGATTTGGAGGTGGAGGAGGGTAAGAATTATCTTAAGTGAATTATTTTCAGTAGAGCAGTAATGAAGGCACACTTTAGGTTATTTCATTCTTAGGATCCAAATTTGATTATCTAGCTAAGATCACTGGGGACATTTGAAGCTTTAATAATTACAGATCAAGGCCTCAGGAAAAAAAAAGAAAAAAGAAAAAAATTACATTTACTACACATTCACACAGCCTTTCAGAGAGTTACCAAATGAGGGCCTGCTTGGCTGATTTAAAAAATAGATTGATATCAAGATTCCATTTTAAGAGTTCAAGCTCTGTTGACATAAAAACAAAAGTTAGATTTAAACCATTGCTTTGTATAGAATGGTTAAACATTGCTTATTTGAGAGAGTAAAACATGTAAGCTATTGATTTTACGGTACCTTTTGGAGGACAGCTTTAGGATTTTTCCCCTAGAAAGTTTTGAGGCCATAATTTTTGCTACAAGTACCCTGTTCCCTTACGTGCCAGCACAGCTTGGAAGCTGCCTCTGCTTCTAGGCCAAAGGCTCTCTCTCCCCCTATTGCCAGATGCCAGTTTCATGCTTAGGCTCCCATGATCCTCAGAAACCAATCAACTTTTCAGTAAAATCCAGTGACAGCTCTGTTTTACATAAAAGCATGCGGCCTGAGGATATAATACAGTTTTGCATTTTAGGTGGACAAGAAGAAAAAGCAAGCATCCAAATTGCTGAGAGAGAGTTTCAAGTGGAGTAGCCATCATGAGAGCCAGAGGGTGGCTCGCAGTATCGTACCCACTCTTCCTGCAGCCGGTCCAGCCCCCGCGCGTAGTACTCACGCAGCAGAAACCGCTGAAGTACAAATCATTCTACAGTGTTCTCATCCTGCTGTAGCACTGGTTAGTAGCATCCATGAACTGAAGAAGTGTTGAGCAGGTCAGCTCCCCGAGGCCAAAATTTCCTCCTTGGGGTATGAAAAGAAACACATGAACAAATTCCCCTCCATACAACAACACAAAGGAATCTCACATTGTTGGAAAATACAAAAGAGACCAGACATAAAAGAATGCTTGCTCTACTGTTCTGTTTGTACAAAGTTCAAAATTATGAAAAACTGGTCAGTTGTGTTACACTAATTATAATTGTTTACCTTTGATGAGGAGAGAGGATTAAAATTAGAATGGGACATGATGGCGGCTTCTAGGGTGCTAGAAAGTTCTGTCTTAACCTGGGTGGTGGTCACAGAGGTTTGTTCACTTGGTGACAATGCATTTAGAATAATGCTATTCTAAAATATTATAATAGGGCCAGGCATAGTGGCTCATGCCTGTAATCCCAGCACTTTGGGAGGCCGAGACAAATGGATCACTTGAGGTCAGGAGTTCAAGACCAGCCTGGCCAACATGGCAAAACCCCGTCTCTACTAAAAATGCAAAAATTAGCAGCCATGGTGGCAGATGCCTGTAATCCCAACTACTCAGGAAGCTGAGGCAGGAGAATCGCTTGAACCTGGGAGGTGGAGGTTGCGGAGAGCCAAGATGGCACCATTGCACTCCAGCCTGGGCAACAGAACAAGACTCTGTGTCAAAAAAATGTAGCATTTTGGTCAGGCGCAGTGGCTCATGACTGTAATCCCAGCACTTTTGGAGGCCGAGGCGGGCAGATCATGAGGTCAAGAGATGGAGACCATCCTGGCCAACATAGTGAAACCCTGTCTCTACTAAAATACAAAAAAATTAGCTGGGCGTGGTGGTGCACATCTGTAGTCCCAGCAACGTGGGAGGCTGAGACAGGAAAACTACTTGAACCCGGGAGGCAGAGGTCGCTGTAAGCTGAGCCAAGAAAAAAAAAAAAAAAAAAGAAGACAAGTTCAGGAAAAAAGACACAAAACCCCATGGTAGGGCAGTGGAAACTCTTATGCATGGCTTCAGAGAGTGTTAATTGCAACTGCTGTTCTTGGTTGACTGTTTGGCATTATTTACTGAAGTTAAAGAGGTGTATATTCAGTGATCCAGATTTCCACCCTTGGGTAATATCCAAGAGAAATATGTACACATGAGCACCAGAAGAACAGCAACTCTATTCATAGCAACCCAAACTGAAAACAAGTCAAAATATCAACAGTAGAGTAGATAAATAAAATGTCATATATCCAAATTTGAAATACCATACAGCACTGAAAACAAATGAGCCGGAGTACTCTCACAACATGGATGAAACTTAAAAATTAAATGGGCCGGATGTAGTGGCTCATGCCTGGAATCCCTGCAGTTTAGGAAACTGGGGCAGGAGGATCACCTGGGGTCAGGAGTTCGAAGCCAGCCTGGCCAACATGGTGAAAACCCATCTCTGCCAAAAATACAAAAATTAGCTGAACTTGGTGGCAGGTGTCTGTAATCCCAGCTACTCCAGAGGCTGAGGCAGAAGAATCGCTTGAACTTGGGAGGTGGAGGTTGCAGTGAGCCAAGATCGCACCATTGCACTCCAACCTGGGCTACAAGAGTGAAACTAACTCAAAAAAAAAAAAAAAAAAATTAAATGGTAAAAGGCAAAAAACCATATGCTTCCATATACAGTGCTTAAAGTTCAAAAAGTAAAAAAGTATAGTATTTAGCACTGTATAGTGATGAAACAGTAAAACAAAGCAAGGTCTTGCTGTTGCCCAGGCCGGAGTACAATGGTATAATCATAGCTCTCTGCAGCCTCATCTTCCTGTGCTCAAGTAACCCTCCTACCTCTGTGTCCCAAGTAACTGGGACTATAGGCGCATGTCACCATGCCCAGCTAATTTTTAATTTTTTGTACAGACGGAGGTCTTGCTATGTTACTCAGTCTGGTCTCCAGCTCCCGGGCTCAAGCAGTTCTCCTGCCTCGATCTCTCAAAGTGTTGGGATCACAGGCATCTGCCACCGTGCCCAGCTCTGTTCTATTTCTTGACTTGAGTCACGGTTATGTGAATATTTTATAAAAATTTTTTAAGTTGTACTTTTCTCTATCATGTACTTCAACGAATGTATGTTATATTTCACAGTAAAAAGGATGTTAAAAATCACATGAACCCCAATTATTTAGATATAGTTATAAATTGAACACCTTGATGTATGTATACTCCTGGCACATCTTTAATGCAATATACTCTGTCCACATTGCTTTGTAACCTTTTTTTTTAATTAATGATATGCCCTCTCAAAAGAATTCCTCTTTAGATTTTTTCCATTTCCACTTAATTTTAACTAAAAGTAAATAATCATACAAGCTTTCTACCCCTCTGGAAGCCTAAAGCCATAGAGTGGTTTTCAGGAAATTAGGTTGCTTTAGCCTAAGCTACATTGATTCATAAACCAATCTACGGGATTTTGCCATAGCTCATGGGAGACTTTTCTTTCTCTGTTAATAATGCTGCTGCTTCAGCAGAGGAAAGCCTCTTTCAACCTCTTCAGAATGCTAGCTCTGCCAAAGGACAGGCCAAGCAATGAGGGGAAAGGCCAGCAGAGCGGAGTTGGGGGCGGGGGTTGCCTGGGGCAGGGAAGGGAGATCACCTTACAACTGGTTGCAGTGTCTGCCATGCTGAGCTCATGCCGAGGCTGTCCTAGACAACAAAAGGAAGCAGATTTCGAAGTGATCTAGGGACTAAATTTTTAAAAAGCAGTTTCATTGCTTTTTCTTGCCCCTGGGATGGGGCCAGTGTGTTCCCTCTGCCTGGAACACACTCCCCTTTCCCTTTGACCAATCTCCAAGCACTCTCCCTGTTCTCCTTCACTGTTTTCATCATCATAGCCATTCACAGTCAAAGAACCCGTCAATGAGCATCCAAGCCCGATGGGGACCACGCAAGAACCTCATGGCACCCTGTACTCACCCTGCCACAGCATTCATCAGAACTCACTCTTTTCTTTTTTTTTTTTTTGAGACAGAGTTTCGCTCTTGTTACCCAGGCTGGAGTGCAATGGCGCGATCTCGGCTCACCGCAACCTCCGCCTCCTGGGTTCAGGCAATTCTCCTGCCTCACCCTCCTGAGTAGCTGGGATTACAGGCACGTGCCACCATGCCCAGCTACTGTTTTGTATTTTTAGTAGAGACGGGGTTTCACCATGTTGACCAGGATGGTCTCGATCTCTTGACCTCGTGATCCGCCCGCCTCGGCCTCCCAAAGTGCTGGGATTACAGGCTTGAGCCACCGTGCCCTGCCCACTCTTTTCTTGTCTACGAATACTCTACCGATCTGTAAACTCCATGCACACAAGGTCAGTCTGTTTCACGGTTGTCATGCCAAGCACCAGGATATATTGGGCCTCAAGAACATATTCCTTGGATGCATGAAAATCAGTGTGAAACGTGAAGTGAGATGGGATCTGGGGTGGGGGAAGGATTTGCTTTGTATTTGTTTGTTTATTTTAGAGACAGGATCTAGCTCTGTTGCTCAGGCTGGAGTGCAGCGGTGTGATCATAACTCACTATAGCCTGCAACTGCTGGCCTCTAGTGCTCCCCCTGCCTCAGCTGTAGCTAAGATTACAGGTGCACACAACCATACCTGGCTACTTTTCTTTCCTTTCCTTTCTTTTTCTTTCCTTCTCTCCTTCTTTCCTCCCTCCCTCCCTTCCTATCTTTCTTTCTTTTCTTTCTTTCTTTTTGATGGAGTCTTTCTCTGTCACCCAGGCTGGAGTGCAGTGGCATGATCTCAGCTCACTGCAACCTCCACTTCCCAGGTTTAAGCAGTTCTCCTACCTCAGCCTCCCAAATAGCTGGGATTACAGGTGCACGGTGCCATACCCAGCTAATTGTTTTGTATTTTTAGTAGAAACAGGGTTTCATCATGTTTGCCAGGCTGGTTTTGAACTCCTGACCTCAAGTGATCCACCCGCCTCAGCCTCCCAAAGTGCTGGGATTACAGGCGTGAGCCACTGCACCTGGCCACCTGGCTAATCCCTTAAAGTGGGTCTTGCTGTGTTGCCCAGGCTGGTCTCAAATTCCTGGCCTCAAGCAGTCCTCCTGCCTTGGCATCCCAAAGTGCTGGGATTACAGGCATGAGCCACCGCACCTGGCCAGGGAGGGATTTAAACTACGCTTCCCCAGTCCCTTCATCTTGTACAGCACAAATAGCTTCAGGTTGTCCAATCTGAAGAAATATGCTAACACAGGACGGCACAAAATTAAAACATCGACAACTGTTCAGTTTCAAATACCTACTGGTAATAGCAGTTTGCATTTGTATACTGTTTGATATTAAACAGTTTCACGGATTATACAATTTCGGCAACAAAGCCTCTGAGGCAAACTGGGACGATGTTAATACCACCATTTTGCAGATTAGAAAATTGTCTGAGAAAGGGTAAGTACCTAGTCCCACATTGCATGGATCAGTTTCTAGTGCAAGCCATGGACTAGTGACCCCTTAGGTGCTTGAAGGGAAGCAAATAGAGTGTGTACTTCATACAGATATATTTTCAGGGACAAGGGATGTTAAATAATATGACATCTTTCTGATTTTTTTATCCTCAGTAGATATTTCTTCTCTGTTGGAGTGTATCAAGAGAGAAAGGTAAACAGTCACATGTTCATCACATTCTTTATGCAACAGTAGTTAAAAGACATTCATCTGGACTCAGCGCATCTATCAAACATAGAAAGATTTCATCACGTGCTGACAGTGGGGAAACGGTTTTGGCTTTTGTTGTCTTACACCTTCTCTGAACATAAGCTTTTTTCCTTGTGGTGATCTTGGCAGAAGAAATACAGTAGTAGGACAAAGGGGTTGGAGGAAGAGAAAGAAAAGAAAGGTAGAAGAAGATGGTCAGACATCGACAACGCGAACAGGAGAAAGGGGTGGAGAGCGATGGGGTGGGGTCAAGGGAAGGACCCACAGCAAGCTTTGATTGTCCGAGTCGTGCTACTTAAGAAAACCAGAGGCAGCCGCATTGCCTGGGATCTGGTTAGAAATTGAGAATCTCAGCCCCCAACTCAGACTTACTAAATCAGATTCTGCATTTTAACAAGATCCCCAGGTACTTCCTATG